GGGTGCCTGGGGAGGCTGCAGGAGGTGAACCGGCAGCTGGCGGCCGCGCTGCAGGAGTGCAAGAGCGATGCGGAGCGGCTCAGCATGGTGCTGGGCCAGCACGAGTCCCGCAACACCGCCCTGCGCCTGGCCCTGCGCTGCAGGTTGGGATGGGGACAGGGACGGGGATGGGGGGACACAGCCTGCAGTGCCACACTGAGCCCCTCTCCCTGCAGCGAGCGCTGCGGGGGGGCCTATGCCGCCCTCCACGACCTGATGCGGGCGAAGCTGGGCAGGGAGGAGGATGGTGCCCATGGCGGTGAGTGCCAGCCCGGGGGGGCTGCGGGGTGTGTGTGGGGGGTGCTGGGGGGATGCTGGGGAGTTTATGGGGAGGATGCTGGGGGTTTGCACGAGGGACGCTGGGGGATATCAGGGGGATGCAGGGAGGATGCAGAGGGGATGTAGGAGGGATGCAGCGGGATGCACAAGGGATACGGGAGGGGTGTCAGGAGGATGTTGGGGGGGATGCAGGGAGGATGCAGGCAGACATCGAGGGGATGCAGGGAAGGTGCTGGGAGGATGCTGGGCAGATGCTTACGGATAGCAGGGGGATGCAGGAAAGATGCTGGGGAACCCCAGTCCCCAGCACAGCCCCTGTGGGCACACACTGGATAAGGACGCCTGCCTGAACGCTGCCTGCCCCGTGCCTAGGAGCCGCAGGGGAGCAGAGCCCAGGGCATGGATGGGGGTCCAGCCCCATGCCGACGGAGGGGCCGCAGCTCCCAGGCCAAGCAGAGCCAGGTGGCCAGGAGGAGAGCGGGGACAGCGGCTCCCCCAGGCTGCAGAGGTACTGGGGGAGGAGAGGCGGGGGGCGCGATGCTGGGCCAGGGCTGAGCTGTCCCCGGGATGGCACCGTGCACCCATGCCCACCCCAGCCGCGTCACCGTCCCCGCAGCATCCCGGCACCCCACGGGATGGAGGAGGGGGCGTGAGCACATTCGCCGGCTCGGCTGCGTGCGGAGCAGGCGGCCGTGGAGGCGTCCCTGCATGATGCCTCGGCGCCTGCCCGTGTCGGCGCCCGCTGCAGCGAGGACGCCCGAGCCCGGGCCGAGCGGGTGCTGCGGGACGCCAGGGCTCTCCTGCCTGGCTGGAAGCGGCCGGAAAAAGCAGAGCTGCTGCAGGACTTGGCGATGCTCAAGGTGAGATGGGGGGGGATGAATGGGGGGGGGCGGACACCTGGATCCCTCCCCGGCTCTCCGTAGGGTCCAGGCTTTGAGGAGAGCAGCTGGGAGAAGGGCAGGGGGTGATGCACGGTGGGAGGGTGTGGAGCCAGGGAGGTGGGGCCGTGCCTCAGTTTCCCCCACCTTGGCGGTGACACCACTGCCCTGCCAGGAGGCCATGGCCGATCTGAAGACGCGGCTGCAGCTGGCGGAGAGGGAGA